AATTAAAAAAAAAAAAGTCAATCTGGGTCAGAATAATTCAATACCAAAAATGAGTTTTCCTGTTAAAATCACAAATAGGGAAAAGTTTTATAAACATTTTAAAATTTAGTAGTTTCAGAGAAATAAAAGATAAAAGATTTCAACAACCAAAAAGCCTTACATAAAAATAAAATGTCAAAAACAACCATCATTTAAATTTTCACATCAAATTAACATTATTATTGACAATTACCTGGAAATTCAGATCTTACTGAGTATTCTAAAAAATGACTTAGATGCTTATTGTAGGCCTTACTCACTTAAGCTTGCTTTAAAACTCTGATTCATTGAAAAATAATACCCTGAAAAGTAGTCTTTTAAATAGTTTTTTGCTCTTATTGTCGTCCGTTTAAAGTTTTATATATATCCTCTAATTCAAGCAAATTTATTCTGAAATGTCAAACTGAACAAAGTTTTTAAAAATAAACTTAACAAAACCAGGCCCTATGTTGCATCTAAATTACTTTGTAGCTATAAAAATTATAAGGGGCCTCCCTGATGGTACATGGGGTTAAGTGTCAGCACAGATCCCCAGCCAGTGGGCTGACCCACGTGGCAAGACAGACCTCTCCTGACCCGCCTGCTGATCCCCTCAGCAATGTAGTTCAGTACATCTGCCTATTCTGCTACCCACTCTGTCTTGGCGAATCCTTTCACCCCCTGTACCTCTGGCCTACACTCTAATTCTGTGTGTATAAATAAATAAATCTTTAGAAAAAAATATTAATAAAGCTATCATGGCAGCTACTGCAGCATTAGTTTGGTCCCTCGCTAGGAAGTTGACCCACATGGCACAGCAGACCTCTCCTGGTTTGCCCGCTGCTCCCCTCAGCAATATATTTCAATAAATATACCTGTTCTGTTCCTCACTCTATCTCTAGTGAGTCCTCTCACCCTTAGCCCTGTACCTCTGGCCTATAATCCAGCTCTTGCATGCATAAATAAGTCTTAAAAAAAAATAAAATTTGTAAGGCTGAAAATTTAATGGGCAAGTGAGAGAAAGATATTAGCTCACTTTCACAGTACTTAATAAAAATAGGTGACATTAAGAGTTTGGAAACTACAAATTCATAAAATTACCAGCAGGAAAAATCTATACATTTTAAATAAAGTTAAAAAAGGATTAGAGAGTTGCTATAATTATTTGAAATAGCTAGCAAAAATATAACCCAAAAAAACTTACCACCAGTATAAGCCCCCTAATTTATTTAGGTAATATCCAATATGATTTATTGGTATTTTTTCCATTATTTTCCTCAAGGAATAAAGCCTTTCATTCTGACATACTGGGCAATGAAGACAGAACTTGACTTTATAGAAATCTCATTTGTTGCCAATTATGACAATGTAACAATGCCTATATTCATATATATTCACCCATAGCAAATATATATATTTATCACATGTCAGTCATATACTTACCCTATTACTATGATCACTGACTTTGATGATAGGTTCATTCTTTCTAAGATCCCATACAGTGGCCCGGCCACTGGGACTGGCTGAAGCTAAAATATGCTGAACTTGTCTGTTCCATGCAATGCAGCTGATATCTTCTGCAGGCTATAAAGAATAAGTGCTTAAAAACCACACCTTAATTATAATTAAATTTAACTGCAAAACCTAATTCTCTGTGAAACAAAATGGATTACATAAAAATCTAATATTCATTACACAGATGTGCTTTATATTCCGAAATTTTCAAAATGTACACAATAAAACTCAGGTATATGCCAATTCAAATATTTTATCTTAGGGCTTCCTTGGTGGCACAGATGTCAGAGCATCATGCTATCACTGCTATTACCTGCACTGGAGCTCCAGACAGGAATCTAACCCATATATGGCAAAGCAGACCACTCCTGTCTCGCCTGCTGCTCCCCTCAGTAGTGTATATCAGTAGATCCTCCTATTCTGTTCCTCACTCTATCTCTGGTGAATCTGCTCACCCTTTGTACCTCTGGTCTACACCCCAGTTCATTATGTATAATAAATCCTTGGGAAAAAAAATATATATATATATTTATTTATCTTATTTAATACTATCTCATTCAACAGTCATTAATCTCCTGCTGAAAATCAAGCATTGTTTATTTTGTAACTGTCACAAGGTAGATAATGGATAACACAGTAGATGCTGATCAATACATTGGAAAACTAGGAAGGCAAAAGTGACAAGCTAAACTATTAGAAAAGTAACTTTATAAATGGTATCCAGTGTGCTATCATTATGGTACCTCTCAGACTGCCAAAATGCTAGTGATAGTTTTAACTCAAATTGAGCAGTCTATGTAACATAAATACTAAAAGGTAGGGGGAAGAATGTTCTCTCTTAGAAATACATAAGAAAAGAAAAGAGGTTTTTGTTTTTTTTTAAATAAATTTCCTTTCCATTCTAATTTTTATTGCAGGATTAGGTGTTATTGCACTACCTCCTTATATCTATATTACTGTATGTATACTATATGTAGTATACAACAGGTACTATATTGTACTGTATATATGTACTATATATATTAAATACTTGGAAAAATCAATAAGGACTTTTGTCCACTTTATTCACTACTACTAAGTGTGAACAATGACCATTATCTGGCAGGTGGTACTAAGTATTTGCTACTGAAGGGCTCACTGATACTTTGAAACAGCAAACTTACTAATACATTGCAATGCTGAAGGGAGGACAATTTCTAAACATTGATCTTAAACAAATATACTTTGTGTGAAAACTGAAATTACAAGTTTAAAACTGATTTTGGTTTTTAATTATATGAAATTAATGTATTACCTGTGTTTTGGCTCCTGGTGTCATTGGAGTTGCAAAATTGTTTAGATCCCAAATGTAGATTTCAGATTCATTAGCACCAGAGGCCACTAGATTAGTCTGCAATAAGAAATAATAAAGGACTAAATTGCATTTATTAATAATTTAGTGAACTTAGAATAACTGAGTTCAGAGCTGGAAAGATCTGTATGTTTTAGAACATAAAATTTTTCTATTTAATTAAAAAAGCAAAACACAAGAATACTATGCATGACAATTTGAATTTAAGTAGTTTTTTAGAGAAACATAAATTTCTATTTAACTAAAACAATTTTTCTACTGACATTTTAAAATAAGACATTAAAAATAATTACATGAATAAATTCTTAATCATGCAACCAAATGGGGATTATCGTTTGTGGTTTTGCATCTCTGGAAGGGGATCTGGCTGTGGGAGACAAAAAAGGTTACCAATTATTGCTTTCAGACAAATAAATGAACTTTCAAATAACGGCATCTATCTTAGGATATGTCAAAGCCAGCTTCTGGAGTCAGACCAAAATTATGGCTAGTAAAATTTCCTGTCGTGATGGTTTACATATTTCTAATTCATTTACAATCAATCCTATTCTAGGTAGCAATATTTTAATTTTATCTTTTTTGTACCTTCAAGGTCAAAAAGATGCTAAAACTATACAAGATAATAATAAGTTTCATATAGTGATCTTCATCTTTTGTTCACTCTCATAAATTCTTCCCTGATCAACTGATACATAACCAGGAAAATGGAAGACTTCATTGGGAGTTGCCATCTATAATAAATGACGCTTCAACCAAAATTCAGCAGTTGTTTAATTCAATTAACAAAGAAACTAGCTATGTAATCAAAGAGTAGACTCCATAAACTGTACCAAAAAAGCTGGATCTGTGTATTTTTATATCATAAGTACTTATTTACAACACAGTAAAAATGACTACTTCAAACTTTCCTAACTTCATTTTTTGGTTTTTATACTTTAGTATCCTACTAATTCAAGATATTTATTAACCTATACATTTATACAATTAATATTCAACATGTTTCTGAGAGCAATAGTAAGCGACTCTCAGTCATTAAATTTGTGCTTTATTTACGTATAGTCTCTAATTATTTGAAGACAGTAATCTTTGTCATAAATACAAAATTCATTTAAAAAAAAAAAAAAGCACAGGATCAACCCAGACATCACAGCATCAGTCTAGTGTTGCGCTGGCACAAACATTTAAAAGGCAAAATTTCCTATCTTTGTGACTCCTAAAGTTCACTTAGATAGTATGACATCTATCATCAAACTTAAAGAATTAGCCTCAAGAGCCTTATCCCTACCATGTAGTTGGTGCTTTTTACACTGAAACCAACTCTGAACCTTTCATTCTTAAAACAAATACATTCACTCATCAAACAGCAGGAACTGAATCTGTCAAGTCCTACAATGATGAATAGTAGATTCATACACTTATTCCAAATGAACAACACACAACTCAAAAATAATAAACAAATGTCAAAGCCTGACCTGAAAAATGTTTACATCCAAGGCTCTCACTGGGCCGGTATGTTTGTCATTCTGGGCAATCACAACTTCCTTGTCTCCAGCTATAATTTTAGAAGGATCATAAAGAAAAATATTTCCATTTTCACCACCTGCAATTAAAACTCCAGAAGTATTTCCTTTGGAATCCATCTTATGAGGGCCCCAAATCAATTTGTGGTACCTTTAAGAGAAAATGAGTAAAATGACTCACTTATCAAGTCAAATATATACAGAAAAGAATTTGAAATTACGTATTTTTGTTGTTGTTGTGTTACACAAATACTCCAGAAACATCACTTCTCCTCCATTCCTGATAACAGTGCAGGATTAAATGAAATAGCATTTTAGTTATTTTATACTCATGTGAATGTCTAATTCTCTATTTTTAAGGAGTAAAAACTCTTGTAGTGGTAAATATAGTGTTAAAAAGTAAACCTGATTTTTATGTCAGAAATACAGGCTTCATTGGGTTTTACCGTTTAGAAACTGTGAGAACCTGGGCAAATTACTAAATCTTTCTAAGCTACTTTTGGTTCATCTGATTTCATCTGACTACAAAACTAATTGCCAAGTGATCTGTTGAATATAAAGGTATTTGATAGGGAACCAACTGAAATTTTCTTATTTTTGGGAAATATTTATTTATTTATACATACAAGAACTGGGGTACAAGCCAGAATTTCAGGGGGTAAGAGGATTCACCAGACAGAGTGGGGAGCAGGACAGGCAGACTGACAAATGACTCTGCTGAGTGGAGCAGCAGGAGAGGTAGGAGAGGTCTGCTGCGCCATGTGGGTCACCTCCCTGGCCAGGGATTGAACTTAATGCTGCTGTGACTGTGAATAGCTTCACAGTGCTGTGCTTTAACCTGCTGTGCCACCAGGGAGGGCCCACCAACTGAAATTTTCTAAGAAAAATGATGTGCCCCGAGAATAAAAGTGACATTAAGGTATGTCTACTATCATAGAAACAACCCATATGTCCAAAAGTAGATGACTGGATGAAAAAGATGTGGTACATATATACAATGAAATATTATTCAGCAACCAAAAATAAAATAAACACATGCCTTTTGCAGCAACATGGATGGAGCTGGAAAAGATCATGGCTTAGTGAAATAAGTCAGAAAGAAAAGGAAACATACCATATGGTTTCATTCATAGCAGGAGTATAAAGGACCAGGGGAGAAAATAATAATAATAATGAACAACTATATACCAGAGACATTGTATGGGGATGCAGTGGGGAATGGGATAAAAAACTGTGTGGGGGGGGAAGTGCACTGGACTATGGTGATGGCACATGGGTGATTTGGTGATGGGAAGCCCATGGGGATTACAACTGAGATGGAAAAAGGCACGAAATGATGTAAAAATAAGCTATTATTAAAAAAAAAAAAAAAAAAAGTATGTCTACTATGACAAGTGCCCCGAATGGTGGAGAATAAAAAATTATGGATGGGGCCTACCTGGTGGTCTAGAGGTTAAGTCTCAGCACCATCACCACTATGGTTTGAGTTCCCCTTTCAGCCAGGGGGCTAACCCATATATGGCGCAGCAGACCTCTCCTGTCTCTCTCGCCCATTGCTCCCCTCAGCAGTGCATTTCAGTAGATCATCCTATTCTGCTCCTCACTCTGTCTCTGGTGAACACACTCACCTTAGCACCTCTGATCTACAGTCTATTCTTCTAAGCAGAAAAAGAAAAAAAAAGATTTTGGATGAAATATGAAGGGAACAAGGAGGCATCTAGTAAGACAAATGAAGGAATCCTGCTCAACAAAAACTACCTAGGGACCCCATCACAACGTGGGTACATCACATTACATCTGACAACTACGAAAGCTCCCAGACTCCATGATTTGAATTGTATTTTGTTAACTAATAAACAATCTCTTCACCAATATCTGCCAAGTTATTGAAGCACATTTTACTACTCAAATCAAAGTGCTCTTTCTCTGCATTATAGTAATCTTAAGTACCTGAGGAGGTGATCTGAAAACCCAAACTGTATCAGAAACATGTCAACAAAATTCTCTGTGAAATATGTTTTTAAATATAGGTAAGTATAAGGAAAATCATTACTATTAACATCATAATTGGCATCCAACTACTCTTTCTAGTTATACTTACCTCTTTTTTGTTGTATTTATTTATTTATTATGCATACAGAACTGGGGTGTAGACCAGAGGTGTAGGGTGGTAAGATGATTTACCAGAGATGGAGTGGGGAGCAGAACAGGTTGACTGACTGAAATACACTGCTGAGGGGAGCAGTGGGCAAGACAGTAGAGGACCATTGCGCCATGTGGGTCACCTCCCTAGCTGGGGATCAAATTCATGCCAGAGTGGCTGGTGACAGCTTGACAGCACTGAGACTATAACCCCCATACTCGTAGGGAGGCCCATACCCACCTCATTATAAATAGGTAAAATAAAGGATATAAAAAGTAACTATTATATATATGAAGAAACAACTAGAAACTAGAACTTCTATTCCATAGCTTACACATAATAATCAGCTATAAAAGTTCAAAAAGACAGAAATACTTCTTTTACTTCCACAGAAATGTACTCATAGTTTCATGTCATAAATGATGTTTCTGGGCCCTTCCTGGTCACACAACAGGTGAAAGGACAGCACTATAAAACTGTTCCCAGCCACAACAGCATGAGCATGGTCACTGGCCAGGGAGGTGACCCCTATGGCATGGCAGACCTCTCCTGACCAACCTGCTGTTCCCCTTAGCAGTGTTATTTCAGTCAATCTGCCTGCTCTGCTCCTTACTCTGTCTCCACTACACCTCTGGCCTGTATCCCCATTCTTGTGTGTATAAATAAATCTTTAAAAAAAAAAAAAAGATGTTTTGTAGTTTCTAATGACATACATATCTAAACTATGCATAATCACAACATGTAAGTAAATAAACAAGTAAATTTGAGGTTGAATTTCATACCTGTGAGAAGAGGAGAAAGTGGCACAAGATTTCATATCCAAGGATGGGTCAGAAAGATCTAATTCAAATATCTCAAGGGAAGCATTAGTACTAAATGTTGCATCCAACTGCTGAGCAGATGTTCCTATAGAAAATACACTTATAGTAAATACATTTGCAAAAATAGGTGGCTCAGAGAAAATCATACAAAATAGATAAAATGCATGCTTTTCAATGATCTCATTCATGAATGCTACAACAGTGACTGAAGCCCTAACACATATGCCATTGAGCAGATGTTCATTTTATTATAGCAATGTGATTCCAACACAAAATTCAGAGATTATATTGAAAGAGTAGGTAATACAAATAATATTTAAAGCCCATAGAGAGCCAGAAAGGCCCAGAGATCCTGGAAATAACAACACAATGGCTACCTCAAATTCAGTTCAAGCTTGTACTGACTGGTTGTAGTGGCACTGGAATAAATACACTTATGAAACATTATTTGATCAGTATGTTGTTCACTTGGGTGTTGAGAGCTAGCCCCTGTGTTCCATATCAATAATGGGCCTATTAATGCCCAATGTGTACGATACAGCTGGCCAGGAAAAGTTAGGTGAGCTAAGTTGAAAAGTACTTCTCTGGCTTGCTGGAAAACTAACTGGAGACCCTAGTGTGGCAGTATAACATGAACTGATTTAGAGGATCCTCCGACAACTGCTCCCCCTGTGAGAACATGTAGCTACAGCAGCACCAGAAGCCTGGTTTCACAGACTGTCCCGTGCTGTCAGTGGTGCACACCTTCATGTGCTTAGTCTTTGGAATGCTAAAGGAGATGAGAGGACTTTGGAGTGAATGTAACAATTAAAAAACTCTTCATGTCTTGGCCCTATATTATTTAGCTGTCTTGAAACATACTTGCTTCCTTTTAAGTTTCAAATGTATGACTGCTATTGTCATCACAATATTCAAGTGATATATTTTTTTGCTATTTCCATTCACATTCTTTTTTGTTTAGAATCAGAATCCAAATATCAAAAAGAATAGATATTATAAAAGTTCTAGTCACAAATAATGCTAACTCCAACTCTCATGTAATCATCATCACTCATCAAAATGTTCTTCATTCAAATTGCTATTAAGTTTTTTACATGTGAGATATTAAGCGCAATACTGCAGAAATAGACAAAAAACAAGTCTATAAAGTGGGGAAGACATTATAAAGGTTATGTATGTGTACGTACACACATATAAATGATTAGTGCTATAGCACATAAATGACTAGTACTCTAATGCACAAGGTGCTATGGGAACACAGGATAATCAGTGAACTCAGATAAGGGGAATACAGAAATCTCTTCAAGGAAAAAACACTTCTAGGGAAAATAAAGCTTTTAATTGAATCTTAAAGGACAGGTTTGAGTGAAGAGAAGAAATGAGGTGATTCATACTGTCTTCTCTCTTTTGAACTCACCCGTAGCAAGGTAAATGGGATGATTCTGGGCAGGGCTCCATGCCTGCATGGCTGTACGATCAACTTCCTTTAACTTCATCCTGCTAAGAAAATATTTTACATAGAAATATACTGAACATGTAACAGAACACAGCACCATTTTAACATAGAAATATACTGGTCAAACCACTACATTATTAGTAATGCCCCAATACCAGAATACGTCAACTTGGTTCAGGAATCATTTGTTGGGATATTCAATATTAAAAAGAAGAGTAACTTGTCAAATTATTTCAGAGAAATTTAGGACTATTTTAAAAGTTTATACATTAGCGTCCTTCAACTCAAAAATTATCTTGCGGGCCCTCCCTGCTTTAACAGCAGGTTAAAGCACAGCACTAAGAAGCTAAAGCCATTTCTGCATGAGTTTGATCCCTGCCTGTCCCAGAGGTGACTCACATGGCACGGCAGACCTCTCCTGACACGCCCACTGCTACCCTCAGCAGTGTACTTTGTTGATCTGCTTGTTCTGCTCCCCACTCTGTCTCTAGTGAATCCTCTCACTGCCCCTGCACCTCGGGCCTGTACCCCATTTCTGTATGCACAAATAAATAAATCTTTAAAAAAATTATCTTTCAAAACAATAGCAGATAGAATGAGGAATTAACCTTGCTACATAATATACTCCTTAGAGAATGATGGTTGGCAGTAGATTCAGGTACTAGAGAAGGCACTAATAAACAATAGACAAAGGATCAGAGAAAAAATTAGACAAAACTAGCAGGCAAATTTTAGATCTAAGTCATATAGCAGGTGAAAGTGAGGGAGGGGGTAAAAACAGGAGAGGGAAGAGCAGACTGGACTATGGTGATGGCTCATGGGTGAGGTGGTAAAGGGAAATTATGGGGTCTACACCCAATGGGAGAAATCAAAATGAACAGCACTATATTTAAAAAATAAAAAAGAATTTAAAATAAATAAACAAGGTAGGACTTCCTGGAGGAAGATTACCTAATCATTTTAAATAAGAACAGACTAATTGCAGAGAATATAGTTATTATAGCTGTAGATTTTAAAGATAAACTAAAAATTTTTCAAAAAAGGTTCGCTCCAATATACAATTTCGTATCATACCACATACATTCTGTTAAATTTATCTCAGAAAAATCCAGGAGGTACTGAGCTGTACCTTTTTAAAAAATGTTATTTTACATAAATGCATTCACATGCCCGTTTTCCACTGTAAGATGTACCATAATTTAATTACCTACTCAGCTACTGATAAACATGCATGTTGTCATGTTCATGTATCTAATGTATCTAATCATGTGTCTAATCTTCTATTTTTATAAACAAGACTAACATAGATCTTTATAGGTACATGCTATTTCAGTCATGGGCAGGAATTACTAGAAATTGTCACAAGTAAAACAGCTGGTTTATAATATAAATGCAATTTTAATTTTGAAGGAATGCCTGTCATGGCAAGTGCACCTCTTCACATCCTGGAAGTGATATACATGAGTAGCTGCTATACTCTTTAATGTTGTTATCAACCTACCATGGTGAAAATGTTAGCTCTATATAGTTGTGATTTGCATTTCTAATATTAAAATACAGAGAATCATTTTTCTGATTATGGGTGAACCCACATTTCCTTCTCTGTCATCTTTGTCTTTTTTGTATCTATATCATTTGCCAATTTTCCAATTACGTTATCAGGCTTCATCTTTTGATTTTGCTTGCTTTATTTACTGGAGCTGTTTAGTTACAAATCATTTTATTCTGAAGGTGTCTTGTCCTAAGATCTCTCTGTGCTCTACTCATTAAATTCTGTTTTCACCTGTCACTTCTTACTGATCTTTCTGCTGTCTCCATGTTTTGCCTTTTACAAAATGTTATTTAACTATTATGATACAATATAAGGCCTTTTCCAGACCGGCTTTTCGCTTAGCAACAGGTATTTAAGGTTGCTTTGTGTTTTTTTTTGTTTTTGTTTTTGTTTTTTTGTGACTTGACAGCTCATTTTTTCTCCTTTCTTTAAATCACATTATTTCTCACTGAGGTAATGATGGTGGCTTACAACACTGTATATGATACAGGGATATATCTTCAAACCTACATTACTGTACATTACTTTCCACTATAACACCAGTAATTCTCTACCATAGTCCAGTAGGTCCCCTCCCCTTTATTTTCCAATCTACTTAGCCCTCTAGTAGTCTCAATTTTGCAGTCAGGTTTCTAGGAATTGGATGACTTACTTCTTTTTAGTTCTGAAAAATATCCCATTTATGGGTATTCCATTTTAATTTATAGTCACATTTTTAAAAGTTTCTGAATTAATTAACTAGAAATATCTTCAGCCAGCCAAGGTTATTAAGAAATTCATCCTTATTTTTCTTCTGGCAAACACATTCATGGCTTACTCTTTGCATTAAAATTCTGATTGACTTGGAGTATATCCTGGTATACAATACATATTCAAATTTTATTCCATTACCTGTTAAGTTATCTATCAAAGTTTATCTTGGGCCCTTCTCTAGTGGTGTAATGGATTAAAGCACAGCACTATGAAATGATCTGCAGCCACTGCAGCATGAGTTTAATCCCCAGCAAGGGAACTGACCCCCATGGCATGGCAGACCTCTCCTGATCCACCTGCTGTTCCCCTCAGTAGATCTGCCTATTCTGCTCCCCACTCTGACTCTGGTGAATCCTCTCACGCCCCATACCCCCCACCTCTGGCGTGTACCCCAGTTCTATAAACATAAATAAATGAATCTTTTAAAAAAAAGTTTAGGCCCTCCCTGGTGGTGCAGGGGGTTAAAGCACAGCACTAGGAAGCTTAAGCCACTTCGCAATGAGTTAGATCCCCACCTGCCCGGAGGAAATCCACATGGCATAGCAGACCTCTCCTGACCCGTCCACTGTTCCCCTCAGCAGTGTACTTCCTCAATCTACCTGTTCTGCTCCCCACTGTCTCTGGTGAATCTTCTCACCCTCTGCATCTCTGGCCCGTACCGCAGTTCTGTATGAATAAATAAATACATCTTTAAAAAAAATTATCTTCCCTACTAACTTTGGTTATTACCTTTTTCATGCACTAAACTCCTGTATATAGATTTTTGGATTAATTATTTATATCTATATCCCTATATGTAGTTAGGACTACTTATAGGAATTAAGATTAGGATTTATATTTCTGTATGAATTTAGGTTTACTTCTGGATTTCCATCCTGTGTCCTTTGTTCTGTTTACATGTTAAGCATTCCAGTTTTAAATGTGAAGACTTAAAAAAAAAAAATGAAGGCTTGAGCTGAGTATGATTTGAAAACCCCTATCCACTCCCCAGCCACCTCGTTGCTTGTTATTGAGTTTATTTTACTATATAAACACTTTCCTTCAAATTGTATTGATTAGCCTATTATTTACATGCAATATAAACATTAGAATAGTTTTTGTCTAATCCTAGAAAAAAAAGAATGCATTATTTGTATTCACTCTACATTAATTACGTTATAATGAATTGAGACGGTGTTAAATATTCCTACTGAGAATATGGTTATCTTCTATCCCTGGTGGCGCAAGGGGTTAAGCCAATCCCTAGCCAGTGCAGTAGGAGTTCAATTCTGGGCCAGGGAGATGACCCACATGGCATGCCAGACCTCCCCCATTGCTTTCTTCAGTAGTGTAAAGTAAATCTGCCACCTCCCCACGTTGATTTTGGTGAATCTCACCTGTTGCACCTCTGGACTATACTGAGCTCTTATATGCATAAAGAAATAAATCTTTAAAAACTAAAGTTATTATAATTGAATTTTTTTACTAAAAATCTTATCTTTTGGTTTCTTTGTAAATTTGGCTCCTGTCACCACCCCCCAACACACACACACACACACACACATTATATTATCTGTGTTACTAATGTTACATGAAGGCTACTGATTTTTCTATATTAAATTTGTATCCTGCTATCTTACTGAATTTTCCTTTTGGAATAGTTTTCCAGTAGATTCTATTGGGTTTTTCACATAAATACTCACATAGAATATGTGAAAATTTCTCATTTCAAATTATTTCTCTTTCTTGTGAAGTTGACCAGAATTTATGGCACATATTACATCACAGTAGGAAAAGGGAAATTTCTTTAAAAAAATTTATTTATGCATATAAGAATTGGGGTACATGCCAGAGGTTGGAAGGGAGGTTGGCAGAGGTGAGAAGATTCATCAGCTACAAGAGTTGGGAGCAAAACCAGCAGATCTACTGAAATGCACTGCTGAGGGGAGCAGTGGGCTGGTCAGGAGAGGTCTGCCACACCATATGGGTCACCTTCCTGGCCAGGGATTGAACTCGTGCTTCAGTGGCTGCGGATAACATCAGAGTGCTGTGCCCAGGGAGGGCACAGAACAGTGAAATTTCTTCTTTTGTTCTTTCTTTATGGGGAAAGAACATTATTGAGCATGATTTTTGGATCTGAGATATACAGAGATCCAAACATGAGCTTCTGTGAATGTTTCATGAGGCTTAAAAATAATAGATGCTATGTATTTCCAGGGTTGAATTCAATATATTTTAATCAAACCTACCCTACTGACCTAACTGACTTATATCCTTATTACCCACACTCGCCCACTAGATCTATCTTGGTATAAGAAAAATGAACAAAACTCTCCCACTACTAGTACATTTGCACCTATTTCTCCTGATATCTCTGAACCATGGAAGTTACTTTGTTATTTAATAAGCTTATTTGGTAGATTCATAATGTTAAATGTTCTCTCTCTAACACATGTTTTAACTTTGTGAAGTATTTTTAAATAATGCCTTTAAGCCTGAATTCCATTTTGCTTCATATTAACACCCTAGCTTTCTTTTTACTTGCCTTTATTTTATAGTAGTTTCTTCCTACTGAACTTTTGAACTATTTTGTTTTCATTGCCTATCTTAAACATAGTAAAAAAAAAAAAAAGTGAGATTTTACTGGGCAATCAGATTTGAAAATCTACAGTAGGTTAGGTAAGGTCACTGATAATGGCAGATGTTGTTTTCAGTTCTATCACAATTTCATTTAGTACCACTAACCTATTTTTCTATTTA